TATCAAAGGCCGAAGGACAAAAAGTGATTGAGAAAGCTTATGAATTAACAATTGAATTAGAAATTATCTGCCTTTATTCAGGTCGAAGCGTGATCAGACAGCATTTATCTGCTACTATGTTCGATATGAGTTTTCTGGAATCTTGATTTACAACAGAAATGTTCATGTCGCAGTAGCTCATGCAAGATGAGGTTGGCTCATCTGGACGCATGGCTGGGGTGACGCGCATGATCCAGACCTCGGGGTCTAGCATCGGACGTGCCTACCTGTCCGGTAGAACGCGCAAGCATAAGTAATCCAACCCACCTGGTCAACCGTCACACTGCGCCTCCGGAGATGCCAACTTACCGTGTGTTAACAAATGACGCAATAATGATTGCTGCCACCCACTTGATGACCGAAGTTACGCAAGAGTGATTCGGAAGAGGAAGCGGTTCCGACGAAGGTGAGATCGACATTCAATGGAGGCATTTCAGATTCGGGTGAGGGTGTGAACAATTGACTTGTTTCTGGGTTATCTCATATTTTATGGCGAGAGTAGAGGCATAATATACATGAGCAACCAGGTCGCGATAGCAGTATCTTTCTTTGCCCGAATCTGTCGCACCAGTTCCATTACGCTGTCATCGTAACCTACCAAATTATTGAGTATCCCAGCATACCATCGCACACCCTTTGGTATTCTTTCGCCTGTGGGTCACTCCTTTGCGTCGGCATTCCGTACCGGCTCGAGCGTTGGGTAGAAACATAAGGAAAGCCAGTGGCCCAGGTTCGATACATATGATATCGTATGTAACGAGCGCGATATGTAATTGTTAGTAAAGGAACCTTAAAGGAACTTCCCTTGGGTTACCATTTCGCGTTGTTGGGCACTTGCCATTGGCATCATGTACCTCCTTTGCTGTGCCATCGTTCCATTGCGAATATCTGCCGGGAAAATTTCAGGTAGCTTGCCTGGCCGATGTCTGGAAGTGATATAAGCTGGAATCGGATCACGATTATGAAGTCAGTGAGACAAAGCTTTCTGCCTCGAACATCAATTCCCCGGTCTTTCATCGGCATTCTACATGTCTTTCCCAACTTTTACTTGCTACCTCATCTTGTCTTTTTCATGTGCCGTACTTAATCTCGCACCTACGGTTTCGCACTTTATACAAGGGCACTCAGGACCCGCTTCCTTTGGCATTTGGGTCATTTTGCTCAATGCATGCGCTTTCGTGAGTCCAAGACCCTTGTCGTTTTTGCCGCAAACCAATGAAGCTTGAACTCAATCAACTAGATCAACGGTATCGTATGGAAAGACGATGCTATGGATCGTGCTCCGGTATTCTGCGATGTTACTGCAAAGGTAAGTCTCTCGACATGGCTGTCGACCAATTCGAGCATACCTGATAACTGAGTTATAAAAAAATTAGCTCAATCTCGTGGGGCCAGTGGGTCTCTTGACCTCAAATTGGTGTATCATTCAATATCTTGCCAAGATTCTTACTGCCAGCAAGTCTCTCGAGTGCCGTAAGGCTTCAAAGCAACGGGCGATAAGGGATTATCTGATGTCTTTCGGGATTCCGGCAATGATCGCTTTAGCGTCTGTCATCTTCCAGGTCGCGAGGTATCAGGTGGATAGTCTAGTGGGTTGCTCCCACGTCTCGGCCCTCACCTGGCCTACAATGTTCCTTTTCTTGATTTGGCCTCCAATCATCTGCGGGGTCTCTTGTGGATATTCTGGTAAGTGACATAGCCCAAGGGGAGTCAATATTGTGACTTATAGCAGTGGTTTCTGTGTCCCACTTCAGCCTATGTGTTGTATTGGCTGATCCGCCAGCACACAAAACTCAGAGCACTAGTTACAAAATCGACCAATCCTTTGAATTTGCACCGCTTTGTCCGAATGTGCGTCCTAGCTGCGACGTACTTATGCATCTCGGCGCCGGTTGCTATTTGTGGGACTCTGGCAACAGTGTGGGATATCGGGCCTTACCTGCCTTGGCAATCTTGGTACGCTTTGCACGACACAGACAACCAGGTGATGAGATTTGATTCCATTGCTCAGCGTGTTCAAAAGAGTGACGTGCCACAATATACAGTTGTCTCGGATTCGTCAAAATCCTTTGTACCAACTTCAAGCCCGTGACTGGGTACCTATTACCGCTGGACTGGCTATTTTCTTCTTATTTGCCTTTGCAAACGAGTCCCTCAATGTGTACCAGGCTCTACTTCGGCGAGCTCACGCGAATTTCTGGCCAATGAACTTGGAATCCGGGAGTGATCAAAAAGCTCCCAGCCTAAAAGTTGGACTACCATGCGGCAAACCAGCACGGTACGCTTCCCATGAATACATATCTACTTCTGGGAGCTGAACTGAGTGATAATTATGTAGTCCTCCGACTGGGATTTTGACTTACACATCAAGTGAGGAGTCTCAAGCCAGTCACACTCTACCTGCGGATCAAGTCTCTGTTGAAATATCATCAAGTGCCCTGAGCTGTAACTTGGGGGATGGGAGTTGTGTTGTTATGGTTTCAGAAATCAAAAGAACAAACTCTTACCGAACTTCAACTATCACAAACGAGAATGCGAGCTTCCATGCTTTTGACCACCGAACTGGTAGAATGGTTGATCGGATAGGGTAAATGACAGCGGTGCCGAATACTATTCGGAAGTAAAATGCTATCGAGGTGTTCGAATATAATGCGGGGTGTTTGAGTAGGAGATCACTTGATGTTCAAGTCCAAGTAAAGTGAGATAAATACTTTAAAACTATAAGGCTATAGCCATGAGAAGTGTGCAAGTTGTATCCACAAATCCAACCTTGTTTATAACCATTATTGGAATCTATTTCGGTATGACTATCCCTATATCATCACTACGGGGGGCATCATCAGGGCTCTCTGGCTGAGCTCCCCCGTCCGACTAGTTGAGACGGATGTGCGGTTTGCTTTTTGAATTTCCAGATTTTTTTGCATGTTTCCATGTTTTGTGGAGGCGTTGAGCTTTTCCGATTTTTTTTGCCTTGTATGTCCCCTCACACAAAGAAAACAAAAAGATTTTCTCTTATGCATGGCCTCAACGTCCGCAGCACCCCCCAACCACACTCGCAAAAAAGGGCCCCCAGTACCTTAGCTCAATTGTCCAAGGAAACATTTCCCTCAGGAGGTCGATCATCAAATGTGCTTTCCAAAAGCGATACAACCTGGAACCTTGTCATCTGCAAGTCAAATGGGTGCTCTTCCTCATTGAGCTGTGGAATGTATTCCTATTAGCAACAACTGGGTTTGGGAAGAGCAAGGTTGCTGAGATGTATTATGAATACTTTTCAAAGGCTGATGATATTAAAGATAATTAACTCTTCTCTCTTTTGGTCTTAACACTTTGTCATAGTTAATTTCTTCCATGATGTCATGCTTACTTATTTCATTTCTATTCTGACATCATTATATGTTTTCCTTCTCAATCTACTCATTTGTACCTTGATCTTACGAGTTTGCTTTCTATATAAGAATGTGCTTGACTTAACACTGTTCTTTTCTTTCTCATCCATTCTTATATGCTCTTCTCGTACCCAAAGGTACTTCACTTTTACATCAAACTCGTGTTCCGTTAGCCTTTACTGAACTCTCGTGTTCTATCAAAAGCTCTGATCCTTATAGATAAACCATTTGTTATGATCATGAATGCTCTGGATGCGCTAGGCAACAACCAGGTAACATCTGACCCATTCTAATCCAATTCCGCTGACTGAACACACCTGATCACTTGGTCGCGTATTACATTTAAGTGCTTGAAAAGATCAAGGACGGATTCACAGCTGTTAATCTGACACAAAAGTCTTTCACTGTGGGTGCCTGTCAGGATATACTGGATGGGAAATATGAGTTCACATACTTGGTGAGCAAACTATGTATTCTATCTGTTGATAAGTAGAACTGCTGACCTCATGCCTATATCAGAGTCCAGAGATTTTCCTCAATAGTGCACTGTTTACAAAGCTTTACTTCAATCCAACATTGCAAAGAAGCCTGGCTCTAAACTTTATAAATGAAGCTCATCATTCATGACAAGTTAAAGGTCAACTATTAATTAGTTTATCCATAATTAACTAACCATCATTGTCATATTAAAGCCAAGCAATTTGAACAAAACTGGGCAAGATCCACCATTAGTGCATTTTCCAAGTTTTGCACATGTGTCAGAAATCATTTCAAGGTTTGTTTGTGGTTCCCTTCATTCACACTCCCACTCATCTGATGGCTACTTTGCCTCTTCTCACCCCATCCACCAATCCAACTTTGCACATCAATCCACACCTAGCAAACTTTCCTGAAGCACCCAACATCGCTCCTATGTATGTATGTATGTGTCTCACACAAATATTCTTATTGATGGATCTAATGCAAATCCTGCATGTATCTCCCTTCAACTTTGTCAATCTCCTTATCATCAAAACTTTCAATCATCATGCAGAGCACCAAACAAGGTACGGTTTGGTGCTAGTGTCCATGAGCTGTGAACTAAGAGGTGACATGTAATCTTACATGTCACAAATCCGAGATGAGTCGACTGGAAGAGAAAACATGTTCAAGTTTTTTCTCTCCCACGCCAACTTCGTAGTTCATCACAGGCTCAGTCGAACAGCAAGATTGAAGACAGAGAATCTTGAAACTTGCTTTTTAGTTCTGATTCAAATTTTTTTTTACCATCCCACCCACCCAATTTGAAGGAATCGGCGAAGAAGGTTCAGGAACAGATGTAGTAAAAGAGACAGGGGAAAACAGACCATCCTTACAATCAGGGCTTGTAGTAAGTCGCGGCTTAAACCTTGGTTCAAATAAACCAACAAAGACTTTCATAGTCAAAGCCCGTGGTTTTCGATAACCAAGAATTTGGTTTAGATAAACCAAATTAGCGGCTTGCTATGCGCGCTTTCCCAAACAGCCCTTACCTCACCACAAGGCAAGGTAAGGGCAAGGATGGTGATTATTCAATCACTCCACATGCTAAAACATGGAACCTAAAAAGGAACTGTGAGAATGGAAGACTCCAACAATCAACTCAGAATCAGGGTCATAGCTGCATTCCTCCTTAAGGATCCAAACCAGTATTCTTACTCAATCAAAACTACAATCTTTGCTTGATTCAGATCAATCTGTTTGCTGCATGTAATGGTCTGACTAGCTCTCGAGGGATAGGAGCAACAGGGTACTATAGCCTTAATAACAAGATTGCAAAGTGAGGGAAGAGAGGACAAAGTGTCCCTCCTCTCCCTACTGACTATAGTACAAAGTAGATACTACAGTATAAGCATAATCCCAGTATTGGGATCTTTAGGTCATTACACCACTCCCCCTTTTATAACTCAGCCCCCTCTTGACAGGCTAGCTATCTTTCCACGGGTTAGCATTAAAAACCCAGTGGGAAAAAAGCTTCACCCTCTCTCATCTTCTCCTTGTCCTAAAATATTTCTTTTCCGCATCAGGATATTTGTCATTAAATTCTTTAACTAAATCTTGAGCATTCATTAAATTATCTTGAGGTTCCCAGGAATCATGATTTGAAGCGTACCCTTTCCAACTCACTAAATATTCAACTCTTCCTCTGATTCTTCTTTTATTTAATATTTCATTCACTTCATATTCATCTTCTTCTTGAATTTTGATTGGTGCAGGTGGTTTTTCTTGCTGCCCTTCTATTTCGCTTTCCTTGAATTCTCGAAGAAGATTGACATGAAAAACTGGATGTATGTCCTGCATCTCTTTCGGCAGAATCAATTTATAGGCATTAGTGTTAACTCGTTTCTCTATTTTATACGGACCAATCCATCGATGAGAAAACTTAGCAGTGGGTCTTGTAGTTGAAATATGTTTGCTATTCAACCACACCAATTCACCCTCCTCCCAATCTGGCGCTTTCAATACTTTCTTGTCAAATTGTATTTTCATTTCGTCTTGAGCAATTTTCATAGCTTCACGTAATTCATTTTGAACATCATTAATTTGATCAATCAATTCACTCACAGCCGGTAACTTCTGTTCACTATTCTGAGTTCCTGTAAAGCTAACATCATGACCATAGTTTGCTCTAAACGGTGACATGCCTATAGAAATATGTAAATTGTTGTTATAAGAGAATTCAGCTATTGGTAATAACCTCCTCCAATCATCTTGTTTGTATGAAGTGAAATGTCGTATAAAATGTTCTACTGCCTTATTTGTGATTTTGGACTGGCCATCTGTTTGCGGGTGATAAGCTGTCGATGCTTGTGTCTTGATTCCTAAAGCTGAATTGATTTCTTGAGTAAGTTTTGATATAAATATATTTCCTCTATCAGACGTGATTGACTTAGGTGTTCCGTGAATCTTCCATACGTTATGAATCATTAACTTTGCTAAATCCTCTGAATTCATTGTCTTGTTACAAGCCATAAAATGGGCCATCTTCGTGAACCGATCCACTACTGTCAAAATACAATCATATCCTTCTGACTCTGGTAAATCTGTAATCAAGTCATAACACACATCCACCCAAGGACCGCCTGGAACTGGCAGCGGTTGAAGTGCTCCAAAGGGCTTCGAATTTCTAGTTTTCACACGCTGACAGGATTGACATCCATCTACATATTTGTTGATATACATTTTCATTGACGGCCAGTGGAAGTTACGTTTTACTAGCATTAGAGTCCGCATTCGTCCCGGATGACCAGCTAACATACTACTGTGTCTGGACTTCAGAATTTGTAGTTTTAAATTATCATCGTCAGGAACTACTGCTTTCTCTCTAAAGTATAGTATATCGTCTTCAACCGTGTAGTCGGATATGAGTTTTGAGTTTGGCATCTCTAGGCATAGGTTTATCAGCTGTTGTACTCGATGGTCATGTCTTGAAGCTTTACGTATTTCGTTTAGGATATGTTCATCTGTCCACATTTCTTCATTCACACTCAAGGCTTCCAACTCGACATTGAGATCACTGAATTCGATTTGAACTTGTGCTTCCTCCTCCACCCATGAACTCATACAATCAAGAGAATCAATGAAAGCATTGGTAGGTAAGTTTTCAGGCTTGAGCAATCTTCCAAACGTTAACTTGTCACCCTCTTTAGGTTTGAGATCCGGCCTTCTCGACAACGCATCCGGCTTCGTCGATTGTTTTCCTGGACGAAACCGGATTTCAAAATCGAAGCTGCCTAAGATTTCGGCCCACCTTGCTTGCCTCCTGGTAAGTTCTTTGGTTGTCATTAAGGACTGTAAATTTTTATGATCGGTATAAACAGTGACACTGAGACGATTCGGATTACCTTCCAAATACTGTCTCCACTCCTTGAAAGCTGATATTACGGCCAACAATTCCTTATCAAACACCTCATAGTTCCTTTCAGCTTTAATCAGTGACCGCGAAAGAAA